GCTCCGACTCCGGAGCCCGCGTCGGGGATCTGGGTGTTCATCGGAGATGCCTCTGCAGTGCGGTCACTCAAGAATTCACTCAGCAAACATCCACTAGCAAGTCAGGGCAGGGCCTGGGAGTCATCCCTCTCCCTCACTGCCCACAATGAGACCTCACTTCCTGTCCATTGAGAACCTTTTCTAGCTCTTTGCAACCCCCATTTCTCTCCATTGCCACTGCCCTCTCTTGCTTAGGCTCCCACATAGCATTCCGTGGGGCCTTCCTGTTTCCACGGTGGCCCTGTCACTCTTGATTTCCACAGAGGTCAGTCATCATTTCCAGACGCAAGTCTACTGCCATCCCTGCTTCAATCCCTCCATTGTTGGACTAAAATCTGGGCCATCTTGAAGAAATGAGCTCAGCCAGCAGGAGACGAGGGGGCAGGACACAGCAAGCGCATGGCCCTGTGCGAAGCCATGACACCATCCAGTTTCCCATCAGGGGACAGCCTCTGTATGGACGTGTGTTCTATTACTGGGCTCTCCAGACAGCCCTGTGAGATAAAAGCCAGCAAGCAGCTTTCTCATTATTTTACGAGCATGGAAACTTGTTTTAGGGAGGCAACAAGTGCAGTGGCTAAGAGCACAAGTATTGTAATTAGACCTTTCGGGATTGAATATCCAGCACTGCCCCTAGTCAGCTGAGTAAACATTTTATTTCTCTGAGCCTTAACTTCCTTGTCTTTTAAATAGGATAATTAATCCTTACTGCTTCTCTAGTGCCACTATGACCAGAAATGGCACAGGTGGATGGCAGTAACCTAGGGAAATTTATTCTCTCACAGTATAAGAAGCTAGACTTCTGAATCCAGAGGACTAGCTCTAAGAGAAAGCTTTCTTCTCTGTTAGCTCTGGAAGAAGGTCCTTGCTTCCTTTCAACAACTCTGAGCCAGGTGATCCTTGGATATCTCCATGTGTCTTGGCAGCCGTCATCCCCTGGGTCTAGCAGTTTCTCAGCTCAGGGACCCCGGGTCCAAAGGACACACATTCTACTCCCAATTCTTTCATGGTGGGAGTCAGGTCCATCCTTTCTTCTCTGCTCGCTTCTATTTCCTTTTATCTCTTATAAAAAGGGCCATGGGTCACACCCCAGAGACACTACCCTGACATAGGCTGTGACCTGAGCAAGGTGCTGCACCCCACCCTAATCCCCTCACAAATGATTGGCTGATCACCTCAGCTCACATTATGATGGTGATTACATCATTACATAACTGACAAAGTGCACAATTACATACCTGACAAACTGTTGAGAGTCATTGTGGGAAGCAAAGATTTCTCCCAAGTTGCCTCCTCCAAATATATCCCAAACTTAGCTGCTTGCTACAGGTGGCAGATGACTATACACTTGGAGGTCAACAGAAGTAGCTCAGGGGTTATTCTCCCTAAGGGTTATCTGCCATCTAGAACAAGCAGTCACCACTGTTTATCCCACAAGTAGGACCCACTCCCTTCTGATAAGGATAGTAGTTGACTATTTCCTTGTAGGAGACCCCAGAGAGGTCAAGCCCACCCAAGGGTGACCAAGGTTAGGCCGCCATCATGAATCTAGGGTCTGCCCTTCTTGTCACATGTATACCCCTTACTGTCATGTGTACACCCCTAGCTCATCCGCTTCCTGTCACACTTATGCCTATTGTACATCCCCTTCCTATGATGTGTGGCTCCTGTAATCACAACCCCCTAAGTAGATATAACCCTTGGTTAGCAATAAACGGGGTCCTGCAAGCTTCCAGCCAGCTGCCGGGTTTCCGTCCCACCTCGCCTCAGCCCACGCTGTGTCCGGACCTGGCCGGTAAGATCATGGCCATCCAGGAGGTGAGCATGCTACCATGAAATGTGTCCGACTTATTTAGTTGACGCTCTTCTCTCTCATGCTATGACTTCTTTATAATCTTTATGTATCTCAACCTTACAGTTGTGCTTACTGAACCCGTGATTAGTTGTGGGGGGGCTAGCCTATTTCCCCCCACAATACATGACCCAGCCAAGTTGACACCTATTTTGGGGAGATTACAATTCACTCCACGACAGACATTTCGGAGGCCATTTTGATTGTCATTGATTCTGAGGAGGAAGAAACCCCTCTGTACCACTCATTTCTGAAATTACAGGTAGCACTTGTAGGGGGGTCATTGTGTGCCAACTCCCTTTCAAGTTATTTACGTGTCTTAATGTCTTTAACCCGCATCAATCCTGTAGGTAAGTTCTCTTATCATTTCCATTTTATTAACACAGAAACCCAGATAGAGAGATAAAGGAACTTTCCCAAAGTTATAAAGCCAACCACTATTCTTGGCCCATTTCTTTTATCCTGTTGCAGTTTTCATCTTCCAAGAAATGCTCTCTCAGTCTGATTCTCATTCCTCACTAATGGGTGGAGTAGGTATTGTGTCCTATTTCTTGAGCAGATGGGACGAAGGCCAAACAGTGCTTCACACTAATTCAAATCAGTTCAGTGATGGCCCAAGGAAGGGAGATCAGAA